ACTGCTACTTCTGACAGCGTGCAGGGCAGCAGAGAGCGCGGGTCGTGCGGCTGGCAGAAACTGACGCGTGTCCGAGGCGCGCGACGGGCATAAACCGCCGCGCGCTAAGGGCGCACGACGGGCAGAAACCGCCGCGCGCTCGGGGCGCACGGCGGGCAGAAACTGACGCGCGACGGGCAGAAGGGCGCATGAGCGGAAGCTAAAGGTGGGCCCAATGAGGTAGGTCCCATGAGGGACCTGCTCTGATAGCATGTCAAGAAGCTAGAGTAAGTTAGGCTTAGGAGCCATGGCTTGAGTAGCTTAGGAACTTAGGTTTAGGGTTGAAGGAGAATAGCAAGAAGGAGTTGGCCAAAAGAGAAGGTGTTGCACTATAGAAACAGCAGTTCATATAGGCAAGAGCTAGGGGTGCTCCACCAACAAAGTATGAACCTACACTATAGTTAATGCAAAGGACAGTTTATATAAAATATGTCTTCAACAACAGGTTGCAACAAGGTATCAGCAGGGATCGCAATGGTTATTGCTTCTGTATCGATACCTTCATTACCGCTGATAAGGTAATATACCATCCAGAGTGTATGGCTATGTAGGATCAATTTACTCCTTGTAATGTTTCTGTTTTAATCAGTATTGTCATTTACGTTCACTATGATCAAGGTCCTCCTAAAAATTACTTCGCTGTCTTACTCTAAGAAGACTTAACATACTCAAGATCATTTGGTTATTTCAACACCGTTGTCCTACCCTTGCACTATTCGTGTGCTCCTATATGGGCATATCGCAATAGTGGGAGGTGTGCGTGCTCTATATGAGCCCATTCGCTGTTGGTATAAGTTTCCAGGAACAGTTAAGTAAACTTTTGCTTATTCAAGCACCATACATTCATATTAATGCGATTGCAAATTTTGCTTGAACGGATATACCAAAGAGCGCAAGTAATCAATCTTGTAAGGTTATCCAATAAATGTGAAACAAAATATACAGGGTTGCTACGTAGCCAAAACTATTCCAAGTTTGCCAGTGGCCAACATACATCAGTGATAATATGCAGTTTGAAAGTGAGGTCTGGTTTATTTGGTAGTGTAGACAATTCAGGCGGTTTGTGTTCAAAAGTGTATGAGGTGTAAGTGATTTGCTCGTGGGTGCTGCTTGAGACTTGTGTGTGACTCGCTGACGTTTCTTGCTACTGAGAATCTTCGGAACAACGTAATTTGGAAATTTTGTTGTCGGCTTGACGGGGGAAAAGAGTCCCTCCATTGGTTGAACGGCTGATCAGGGGGTACGAGCGCGTCAGAGGGGGCAAAATTCGCATTCAAAATTTGCGGGAAATCACTCCCTCGCTGGTTTTCATTGCCACCTCGCTCAATCTTTCACTCTTTGGGACCAGCCTACACAGTCCTCAACAGTGCCCTCGAGGCGTCTAGACAAACCCCCTTCGAGCTTACGCTAGGGGTGCTTCTGTAAATGGGCGCGAAACACGATCCCGCTTATTACCAGTCGTCTCACTGGGTGGCCGATGAGAGTCAGCGGAAAATGCGAATGCAGATTTCCTCTCACCCAAGCTACCCGAACCAGTTTTGCGTTGTCGTACGGAGTCGCGCTGTGTGTCTTGGTGGAAGGCCTGGTAGCCGAACCAGAAGGAAGCGAACCGAGGCACCGTGTCTGGGTGCTTTCCCAGGGCTTGCTTGATCTGGCTCGTCATTCTTTCTGGCAGTAAGCGCACGACGGAGAGCCCAGGCAGCCCCCTCAGGTGCTGCGCCGCAGCGCACTGCTTCTCACGCGTCGTTCGCCAGCATCAGAAAACCGAGCCTAGACCAGGTGTGGGTGTGGAGGAACCACACCTGCCCAAGCCAGAGACCAATCACTTCCCAGTGCCCACGTACCCCCTTCCTGCAGCCAAGGCCTTCCATAAAACCACGAGGCCGAACCAATTTCTCTGTCACGACTCACTTTTCTCGCTCTTGCCCACCACATCCGAGCACAACCTCCCTCCAAGATTTTTTATCGTCTGCCCAAATTGCCCCCAGCTACTCCCTTCCCTCCACCTTCCCTGGCTTTTGACAGGAGTCGTGAGACATACGGAAACACCAAACCCTCATTTGACGTCGTGCGTCACTCTCACGAACCTCTCCAACACCCGAAAACAACGGAGCAGCCCGTCCCTTCCACCCGAACCCAGATTGCCCAGTTTTCTCTCCACTTCCCCAACTCCCTCCCAAAGCTATTTTGCCTTGAATCTGCCTTGGTGAAGGGTCTTTTACCAGATTCCATCACGAACAGCAACGGTGTACTCTGATCAGATTTTATCAAACTCTGGAGTAAGTAAGCAGCAGCCCGGCATTCTTTCAGCATTAGCTCGACCTGCGCTTTCCAATACCTCGCATACCATCGCCACGCCGTTAGACCAAGGATCGGAGCTAAAAGAATCCGCACCACGCCTCGGAACCGTGGGATCGCGTCGCAGCAGAAGATGGACGCGTCATCGGTGCTCAACCCGTGGAGTCAACAAGCTGTATGCAACCTCACGCGCATGGCGCGCAGCAGTGGCCGCAACCACCGCGTGCGGATAAGCGCGCCGAGCGGCGGCGGAACCACGAGCGCGAGCAGCAGCCCGACGGATGGCGAGGCTGTGCTGAAAGCGATCGGCGGCGGGGCGTCGCCGCATCACGACGATTCGGGAGACATGTCCGAGCCAGGTGAGAAGCGCTGAGGGTTTCAATGCTCTGGAAGTTGGGTTCGATGCGAAGAGGCCAGTTTGAGCGAGCGTGGGTGTAATGTAGGTCGCGTGGAAGGATCGTGTTGTGGTTGGGTTTGCGAAGACCAAAAGATTCATTTTTCGTATTTCTCCGCACGTTGTCATGATCACTCGAAATATGAATTGAAGATATCTTTTTTCATGTTCTTAACTCCCGCCTCCCGTTTCTTCCTGCGTTGTTTTCCACAGAAGTGACGTCCCCTCCTCGACGCCGCACTCGCGACCAAGCCTTCGACACAGCCTCGGAATCCTCCGAGCCGTCGATGTCGCCTCGGGAGCCGCCCTCCTCCCCGTCCCGCACCTCCTCCTCCTCGATTCTCTTCCTCGGCCCGCCGTCCTCTGCCGTCCCGCAGACCCCCAACGTCATGATTCCGCCGGCCACGGAATGCCCGTACGCGCCGCGGAAGATGCGCAAGCTGGGCGGCGGCCGGACGGCGCTGATGATGCGATCGGAGGGTATTCGCCGCCTGATGCGCGCGATCACCTTCGATGAATAACCGCGATCACCGGACGGCGTCCCGAGTGAACGCGGCTCTTTCTACTCGACGCGCGCCATCGACGCTGGCAGGCGGACCCTCGCGAAATCTCCAATTAACTCTTTCTGACGGATTTCTGACACGACCTAACAGGCGATTCGGTAATTATTGCGGTTCTCTGCGGCAGTGGCGGAAGCCATGGCGCATCCGAGTGGTTCACAGTACAGCCTCCTCCTCTTCCTGCGCCATACTCTCTCTTGCTGACTCTTCCACGCTCAATGAAATGGGTGTTTCTGGCCTTGGTGCTGACGCTGACGCCGCAAACTGCATTGCATCTGCAGTCGCGTCGTTGTTGCGGAGCTCGTTTCGTCACCACCAACCCTAACTTCGCCCCAGGTCTCCATTCCATTGATGCGGCTAATCTCCTCATTTTAACAGCACCTCTTCAACAACTCTTTCCCTTCACAGAATGATCGCCTCTTCTGTGTACAGGATCAGCATCTCTTCTGTGCAGACGGAATCGCTCCTATGCTGCTTTCGGGGCTTATACTCCTTGCACCTTTCTATTTATTTCCCCTTTGCTTGCTTTTTGTACACTTCTGCCCAGCTTTGCCAGCTTTCACTTAGCTGTGGATGTGGCTTCTGCTGTGGCATGATGATCATACTACGAGGCCTCAAAGGAATTTGTTGGCTTCTTGAGATACTCTTGCTTAGGCTGTTCTCGTGTTATGGTTTTGTTTGACAGAATTGGTGTAAACATCAGTAGGATCATCTTACAAGTTGGGTGAAGGGTTCATACCTTACATTCATTAAGAAGTCATCTTACATTCAAAGAGCACACTACTAACAAGGACGAAAGCGGCAAGACCGCGTTGCAACACGTCTCCGCCTCTCAAGCATCCCACGAAACACGCAATCTAACCAACACGCAGGCTGACAGGCTCGCGGAACTGGCGATGTCGTACATGCATGGGGAAAGATCAACGAGGGGCCGAACAGTGCCAGAGGGGTGATCGACCAGGGTCCGAGAGGCCAAGATCTTCCCAAACAGCTGCGCATAGAGTAATTAACATAGAGTCTTCCTTTATTGCACGTAATTATGTTATTAGTGGCATGTACCGGCTCGCATTTTCGCTCGCGTGTCGTTTAGCGAGCCGATTCTACTGGAAACTCTTAGGGCAGCCAAAAAAAACTACAACTCTTAGGGAACCTGGATGCATTTTCGGGATGGGTCAACCCTAAAACGGATAACTTCCTGGTATTTCGGGTTGATGCCTCCCGAGTCGCATCCGTTTCCGAATGGGTAATATATTTTTTTTCCAGTGCGTCTACGATCGGGTAGGTGATATTTATCACCCAGAATATAATATGTTATACGTACTCACGATTTGATCCGCCGAACTTTACTTCCAGAAGAAGGCGACGCGCGCGCTGTAGTAGACGGAGGTCAAAACCCTTAATAACAAACATGAATACACAATCTGGTTCTTCTAGCAAATATCGTTTACTTCCGGTTCGGCTTGTTCGCCAAGTCGGTTGGGCAGCTCTGGGCTGAAATCCTACGGTCGATATTTACCGGCCCTACTTTGAACACTCCTCTGGCAATGTTCGGCCCCTGGTTGATCTTTTCCCTACATGCATAGGTGTGTGAAGGCGTGAAAGCAGCAGGCGCCATCGTGTGTCTGGGCAGGCGATTGTTGTTTTGGTGCTGCAGAGAACCCCGAACCCGAACCCCCAAATCTGGTTGACCTTCACACTTTCCTTGCCAGCTACAGAGGTTGACTTCCTCGATTTCGCTCGCGGTTGTATATTTTCTCCAACCTCGCTATACTTACTGAAAAGAGACGCGCTACACCCAAAGAGTCCCAAGGAGAGTGAAACATCACATTTACCAAATGTGTTATGTTGAACAATGTCATCATTACCATTTTACCCACTCATGGTGAGCTCTACTAGTAAGATGTTGGCATACAATACTTGCAATAAGAGAACACTCAGAATGCAAATCTCGCACACATGGTGATGTCAACCTGAGCTTTCATTTCATGGTCTCTTCATGCTACTAACAGCTTGCGGGCAGTAACAGAAGTGATAACAATCCTCCACCATCTCTGTGATCCAATCCACGTAATCGTCCCATGTACACTCCCCTGTTGTAGTTGCAAATTCTTCGGTAGCATCCCTTAGTGTGCACAATGAGATCTCTTCATAAGGTGATGAGGTGTCCCCAGGTTGCTCACCCCCACTCTGCTTCTCAGCAGAGGTAGGCTCGGCAACATTAGGCTCGGCAGTGGTGGGCTCTGCAGTAATAGGCTTGCCAGCGAGAGGCGCAGCCGCAACAGGACATGTTGCAATAGGTTCTGCAGTGATATGCTCAGGAGCAGTAGTCTCTGTAGGCTCGGGGGCGATGGATTCGGCAGCGATAGGCTCGTCAGCATTCGGCTCGGCACTGACAACGTTTGCATGATTAAAAGGCGGTTCAGGTGTGCTAGGCCCAGCAGCTCTAGGCTCTCCTGAGACAAGCCGTGCCTCGGAACACATCAATCGTACAAAACTCCCTGTCAGCTTAGACTCTCCTCCCTCTGCTTCACTTCCTGCCCTGCGCGGCTCGATCCCTGCTCTCATAGCCAGCCCGACGGCCCTACTACCCGGCTGCCACACGCCTTGACTCCCCCCCTTTACAATCACGGACTCCTGCATGGTGTGCATGGTGTCGGCTTCCGCACTCTTTGGCTGCAGTTCTGCTTGAGCCCCCTTATTTGCAATCACGGACACCTGCATGGTGTCGGCTTCTGGTATCGGCTCCAGCACCACCCGCCCCGCGACGTTCCGCCTGCTCATCGTTCCCAGCATCCCCTGCCACGCGTCTGCTGATTCTTGAGAGCTCTCAAAAACCATCCTATGCCATGCATCTGCTGCGTCTGCCATTATTATCACTGCTGGCGTTGCTCGGGCGATTTGCCATCCTAGTTCCGACTCGAAGTCCTTCCCCCTCGCCCCGTTCTCTTGCCCCCCGCTAGCACGGCTGCTCATTTCTTGCCTATCACAGCCAGTGCTATTAAAAACTCCGTCTACATGTCCGGAAGTAGTACCGCTGCCGCTAGTTGCGTCTGACTCATCATGACTCCGTATGCTGCCCGAATCTCCGCACTCCATTTCTGATTCAGCGGTGGATAGTAGTAGGGGAGGAAGAGCCGCGGAAGCTGGTGACGGAGAGGAAGCCGCGGAGTCTGATGGGGGGACGGCTGCGCGCAACTCCTGCTGTAGGCGCAGCAGCCGCTTCCGTCGGCGCGCTAGCGTCTCGGCGGACACAAGCGCCGCGTCGGACCACGGGCCGAACCGCACGACGATGCGCGCGACACCGGCTGCTGCGGCGGTGGGGAGTAACGAAGCGAGGCGCGAGTCGGCAGCCGCAACGCATAAGGCGGCGCTTGAGGATCGGTTCAGCGGGGATGCGATCATGAACGGTGCGACGCAGGCGAACAGGCTCGACGAAGTGCTAGTGGCGAAAGGGCTGTTACCATCACTACCCGGTATTATTTCCGCTGAAGGATCGCCGCGCACTATTAATTTCGTTGCTGGATGTATGCACGCCACCGCCGCACCGCTTTCGGTCGGCGGCCGAAAGCACGGTATTCCCTCCAACAGAGCATCAATTCGTTTTGGGGACCGCGACTTCAGGACGGGGGAGGGAACACACGTGCAATAGGCCGACTTGGGATTATCGGCTTCGGAATGTTTCGAGTTGGCCGGACTGGGCGATGCCATCGCGTGCGTGGAGTTGGGGTCGTCATCATCCCACTTTTCGGAGTCGTGAGCGCCCGTGAATGGTGATAGACAAACAAAGGACGAGCTTTTCGAGGAATTAATGCCGCAACTAGAGCAACGAAACATCGCGTGCGTGTCCTTAGCAAAGAGTACCTTTTTACTTATTTCTATATGCTTCACGATCGATCAAATATGTGGAAGGGGAGCCATTGCGTGGCTTGTGGGGTTCGAAATCGAAAAAGCTACGGGTTGATGGCAAATGAGCGCCTCTTTGTGTGTTGTTGCCCTCTCCAACGGAGAGGTGAATGAACGGGCTTGGCGAAGGCCTCGTACGTTACCGAGAAACTTTACTGGCTGAGTCCTGAGAAAAGCGAACCAGTTCGCGAAAACTTGGTACCCAACTTGGTGGCTTTGCGAGGAGTTTCGTTAGCTGGAGACAGAACGAGGCGATCATTGGGCTTGGCGAGAACTGAGCGAACTGTGCAATTCCGTTAGAGATTCTCGCAAAATGTGCTGGTTGTTGGTGACTGACGTTGCGGCGTTTCTGCTTTGTAGCGAAGCGTGGCACCTCATTTCAACAATTAACTGCTCGGGTAATCGCAGCCGTTGGATCCTGACATGATGAATCTGGTCATGACAGTAGGGTGCCGATGTCACTGTTCGTAAGATCAGCAGAATTTGATTGGTGGCGTTCCGTGGCGAGCACGCACTCCGTGCGATTCGGCACGTCAAGAAGAGTGCGACCGGAATGTCTAGATCCAATACGGTTCCGCGAAGATATTTTTGAAAACGAGTGCGATGGAGACTGGTATAAAGGGCATACGTGTACATTCTGCTTTGTCACAAGATGCTTACCACGATGGCAGGCGGTCGTGCTGCAAATAAACAGTTCTTTGCGCGATAAGAAAAAAAACCACTAAACATAATAAGTTAAATACATATTGCCTAAGAAGAGTCTGCAAGGTGTTTAGTACATCAATGTGCACCATACCTTAAAGATTTTCACCTGTTAGTAGCCGCCTCCAGTCGTTAAGTATGTACACCTTTTGCAAAGTTTGCCTGCAGTATCTATGCTACGCCAACTTTTACCTATATTACATATAACTACAATCAGCCATTCAAACAATCACAAAGCATGGTCATAATCTCGTCCAATCAACTGTCATGAACAGTCCTGCTGCGTCTCCTCCCTTATGGACAGCTGTTTCCTCTCCTCCCGTAACGGCAATTGTTGCTGAGCTGATGAACCTTGACCGCCCCCTACCTTCTGCCACCTCCTCCCACTGCCCAACCCTCCTTGTGGAGATTAACTCTACAACAGTGGGAGCCAGACTAGTGGGTAGGCACGAGTTGTCAGAGTGGTCATAGCTCTGTGTGTGTTCTTTAGCACTTGTGCGTTCACAGGGCAAAACAACAAGAGTTTCACCAAGGAAAGTTGAGAATACAGAGTTCAGAAAAAAATAAGCAATAGCAAGAATCACAACGTCACATGCAAGGTTTGTTAGTGCGCAGGCAGGTCGACCGCCAACACGACAAAGTTGTCGACCTGCCAACGTAGCAAGTCTGCGGCCCGCCAACGCAACTGGTGTATGACTTGCCAACGCTGCAGAATGGCGGCCTGCTGACGCTGCACCCGCGCGGCTTGCCAACGTTGCACCCGCGCGACTTGCCAACATTGCATCCGCATGTGTTTGTAAGCGCATGTACAAGCACCTACTTCGCATGTGCTTGTAGACAGTTATGCACTGTCGAGCACACTGCGCAGGTGCCAGGTTGGCCACATGCAGACTGTTGCACTTGACTAGCTACGTCGTGTCAGAATCCCAACCACTAGACCATTGGGATAAAAGGGCTTATTAAGTAGCGGGTCAGTGCGCCAATAACCCCCCAGGACAACGAGCCTGTAACCCTTCACTAGGATCAATTGGGGATCATCAGTGGACCTCTGACACCCCCCCGCACTGGGATGCCCGAAGTGCACACTGTGGGATTCGAACCCGAGACTTTCGCTCTAATACCATGTCAGAATCCCAGTCACTAGACCACTAGGATAAAAGAGCTTATCTGTGAAGCAGATAAGTGCGCCCATAACCCCCCAGGCCAACGTGCCTGTAACCCTGCCCTAGGATCAACCGGGGATCACCAGTGGACCTCTGACACGTGTCAGACATAGATGATATAGCCTGTGTAGGCTGTAGTGGGGTAGCCAATAGGGGGTACAATTTTCTAGGATTTCATACTTGTACCTTTCTCATTCCTAGTCAATCCATTCCTCGTTCTTATTCTCACATGGTATTAGAGCAGAATCGTTCCTAGGGCCCACCGAACGTTCCGCCCTGCCCTAACTGATTTTTTTTTTTTTAGCTGCCCCTGCAGCCGTGCCTGCCCCTGCAGCCGTGCCTGCCCCTGCAGCCGTGCTTGCCCCTGCAGCCGTTCCTGCCTCTGCAGCCCGTGGGAGCTGCCTCTGTAGCCCGCGCGCCGCCCTCCCGAGCAGCTGTGCCTGCCCCTGCAGCCGTGCCTGCCCCTGCAGCCCGTGGGCGCTGCCTCTGCAGCCGTGCCTACCCTTGCAGCCCGTGGACGCTGCCCCTGCAGCCGTGCCTGCCTCTGCAGCCTGTGGGAGCTGCCTCTGCAGCTCGCGCGCCGCCCTAGACCCTGCTCGTCGCGACGCCACTACGGGACCCGCGCGGCGTCCCCCCCTGCTCGTCGCGGCGCCCCCTGGACGCCGCCCCTACTCGTTGCGGCGCCCCCGGGGCGTCGCCCTTACTCGACCTAACCACCCATCGCGGCCCTGCCCTGCACCCGCCCCTGGTAAGCGCCCCTGCTGCCCGTCGCGTCGCGCGCCCCTGCTGCCCGCCGCGCCGTGCGCCCCTGCAGCCCGTCCCGTCACACGCCCCTGCAGCCCGTTGCGTCGCGCGCCCCTGCAGCCTGTCGCGTCGCCCGTCGGCCCTGCCCGTGCCCGTCGCGTCGCCAGAGCGGGCTGCCCCAACCCGCCGCGACGCCCGTCCGCCCTGCCTGCCTGCGCGCCGCCCCTGCCCGCCCCGCGACGTGCCGCCCCGTGCAAGCCGCTCGCGCACAGACCCTTGCAGCACGCGCGCCGCCCGTCTGCAGCCCACGAGCCTCCCCTGAAGCCCGCGAACCGCCCCTGCAGCCAGCGCGCCTGCCTCTTGCAGCCAGCGCACTGCCCCTGCAGCCCGCGAGCCACCCCTGCAGCCCGCGAGCCGCCTCTGCAGTGCCGAGTGCGCCCTGCCAAACCCTAAAATAAATAAATAATTATAGAAAAAAAATGAGGAGCCCTAGGTGCTGCTGCCCTAGGTGCTACTTTTGCTACTGCTGCTACTGGCGGTGGCCAGATGCAGCTCTAGCGACGTCCGCGTGAGTCCCTCACGCCCCAGCAGCTTCGTGAGTGGTATGCTAGTTGGGGTTGTAGGGGTGGCCGCGCTGCTACTGCTGCTACTGCTGTTCCTGCTGCTACTGCTGCTACTGCGGCTACTATTGCTACTGCTGCTCCTGGCGGTGGCCAGATGCAGCTCCAGCGACGTCCGCGTGAGCCCCTCACGCCCCAGCAGCTTCGTGAGTGGTACGCTAGTTGGGGTTGTAGGGGTGGCCGTGGTGGGAGTCGCCCTGGAGCGGGTCGTTCGGGAGTTTCTTGTAGTGACCAGGTGCAGCTGCAGCAGCGTCCGCGCGCGGTCCTTTCACCCCAGCAGCTTCGTGAGTGGTACACTCAGAGTGGAGGGTCACGGAGTACTGCTCGCTGCCCGTACGTCATTCGCACTGGTGCTCGGGCTGGTCAGCCTTGCAGGACGATTGGTCACACAAAGTCCCGCTGCTTCTCCCGTCTGAGCGACGCCTGGCGTACAGAGTTTGGCGACGCGGCTGAGCTCCCCGACTGGGTGGATCTGCTTAGGCAGAGGGTAGATATCTATGCTATTGACTATGATGCTATCCTCACTGCCATGTATGCATTGCCTACTAGTGCTGAGGGTGCCTGTTACCTGTGTGTGCCGCCTGACCCAAGTATCGAGTCTGCTGCTCTAGGTGCTGGTGAGGCTGCTGCTCTAGGTGCTGGTGCGTCTCCTGCTCCAGGTGCCGGTGAGGCTGCTGCTCTAGGCGCTAGGGAGTCCACTCCTCCAGGTGCTGGTGAGTCTGCTCTCTTTGGTACTGCGCCTGCTGCGGCCTTGCACACTTTAACCCTTGACTCAGGTGCTTCCCGCTCCTTCTTTCGCGACTGCACCACACTCTCGCCGCTTAGTCGGCCGGTGGCAGTCTCTCTGGCTGACCCCTCTGGGGGTCCGGTCCTTGCCCACTCCTCCACGGTTCTGCCGTGTCCGGCGGTCCCGTTTGGCTCACTGTCTGGCCTCCACCTCCCCTCGTTCTCCACGAACTTGGTGAGTGGAGCTGACCTTCAGGACGCGTGGGTTGACCAGTTCACTCCTGGAGGTCAGCGGGTGACCCACTGTTCGTGTACTCGGACGGGCCGGCACCTGGCCACGTTCACCCGTCAGCCTGGGTCGAGCCTGTACACCCTGACTACCGTGTCTCCTCCGGTTGCTGAGTCTGGTCAGGTAGCTGCGTTGGGTCAGGTGTTTGCTGCAGCGTCCCGGTCTAGTCCTGAGTCTGCCCCCTGCTCATGTCCCCTCCTGTCTCACCAGACTCTCCTCTGGCACCACCGCCTTGGTCACCCCTCCCTGCCTCGT